TGCTTGCATAAACTTCAGTTATCTTTGGAAACCAGTTTTGGGAGGTTTCCTTTTTGTTCCCAGTATTATCTCGCTCGCTTTACTATCTTGCATTCATATAATGCCCGGTTATAATTTTTCAAATTTAATTTGTATTTTTCCGTTCAGAATTCTTTTGATGATGCAAAGTGTGGCTGCTCAGAAAGCTGTGAACCGGATGAGCTGCTCAGCTGTTGCAGCTTGTATGGCTCCCTTGCTTCTTCGTCCACTCTTAGCTGGGGATTGTGAAGTTGACAATGATATTGATGTGGGGGGTGATGGTTCTGTTCAACTATTGCAAGCAGCTGCTGCCGCTAATCATGCTCAAGCAATTGTTATAACTTTGTTGGAGGAGTATAATCACATATTTGGGGTACGCTCCAAGAAGCCTTTTACCTTATACCATTACTTTAATGATAACACTTTCTACTTTGCGCTGGTCTGGTTTTAAGCTATGAAGATTTTCTATTCATAATGTTGTTCTTCAAAAAAGATTTTCGACTAGCTCACTCTAGAGTCGCGAATTATTTCACATGAATAGTTGGGACTCCGGATTTCTGTATAGTTATGATGTTGAGAATATTTCATAATTTGGAAGTTGAACCAAGTCGGTTTTTCTCCATGTGTTTGCAGGAAGGTGGTCCCCTGTCCCAGGAACTATACAGTGACACAGAAGATAGTGAAAGTGAGACCGAGGGGGCAACCGATGATGACGATTACTATGAAGATGATGAAACTGATGCAGAAACAGGGGATGAAGACGTGGAAATTGTTTCTGATGGAGATGGAACGTGCAGTGAGAGTGGTCAATCTGAAGACAAGGATCGGCATGATGATAAGGCTCGTTACTATACTCCATGAATTTTCTACATCAAACTATACATTCAGTGTGATGATTAAAAGTCCTACATGCTTAGTCCTTCAATATATTAGTGCAAGACCTTGTCGTTGAGATTTGGTGCTTTCAAGTGCCAGTCATTAGCATTCTGGTTTTTGTTCATGTCTTACTGTTTGTTTCCGTTGCCAGAAAAACTTGGAGATTCATGTATAACATATTCACTGTTTGCAGGATGATGACGGTTTAAGACTAGGTGTGAAGTCTCCTCATGGAGGCAATGATGGCAAAGCTCATGAGAAATTGTCATCAAGCTCAATTAAAGTTTTGCAGCCTCAACATGCTGTAGAGAGCAGTAAGAATGAACTGAGTTTAAGTAAAACCAATGCGCTAGAGCAGGCTAATGAGTCGTCTGTAGTAGAAGAGGTTTCTAGAGAAATAAGTTCACTGAACCAGCCACCCGCTCCATCCCCATCCATCCAAAAATCTTCAACTATATCCAATGAACCTGAGCATGGCAGGAATCGTACTGGTTGGGGACGTACCGCTGTAAGTCTATGTTCACTGGATTGGTGATACAGTCTTTTGCTTATTAGGCCTTTCATCATTATTTATACCTTCCTAGATTATGTTATCCAGGAACGGACTTTGAATTTTCCCATAAACTGTTTCCATTCAGAGAGTTTTTGTTAATTGTGTTTCTTTTTTCTTTTGATGGGTGGTGGGATTCGGGTCCAGGCAAAGAGGAACCTTTCCATGGAGTCCATTGACTACGGCCTTGAGGAAGAGTAAGTGATGCATATTTCATCTCTGTAGAGTTTCTTTCCCTCATAGAGATTTGCCTATAATCTTTTTCGCTTGAATCTTGTATCTTGTTTAATGTCAGTAGATGCCCTGTATTGCACGCTTCATACATACAGGCACACGCACGCACATGAGCTTGCATCAGTAGTATATTTTTCCCAAGTGTATCAGTGTTTTACTTACTCAAGATCAGCCATTAGTATATTTTTTTATGAAGCTTCTCTTCAGGTCATGCGGTTTGTTCTAACATCTAATTTTTCCTCCTATATGAAGGGCTGAAATCCAGAAGCTCGAGATGACTAAATCTGAGTTAGAAAACAGAATTGCAGAAGAGGTATCTCACTTTCCAATTACCTTGTATCTTCGTCAAAAATAAAATAAAAAATAAAAAAAATAAAAAAAACCTTGTATCAAGTTGTTTGGAATTTGTGATACTTAGTTGTTAGTTTCCTTTACAGGCTGAAGCGAATGCTGCTCTACAAGCAAGTCTGGAGAGACAGAAGACGGCCTTGCATGAGCGTCGCCTAGCTCTCGAGCAAGATGTAAATTCCATACTGAGAGAACAAATTTTCTTATTAGCAAAACATGATTCTACAACCGTAGAATATAATGCTTGTTCGATTATTATTTAATGGTTATCAAGTGATTAGCCAAGAAGGGTGAAGCTAATACTGATATTGGGCATTAACATACTTGTAGGTGGCAAGACTACAGGAACAGTTACTGAAGGAGAAGGATTTAACAGCAGCTCTTGAAGCAGGACTAAAAGGGAAGGGGGGACGTGTGCCCAATTTAGCCACAGTTGATGAAAAAGTTAGTATTGATTGTGCGCTTAAACTGGTATGGCCTAAGAGCTTTTTATCATGCACCAAATGATTTAACTTGCATATGTGCTATATAGACAAGGGCAGATCTTACTGAAATAGCTCAGGCTGAGGAGAATGTTGCCAACTTGAACAAGAAGGTTGATGATCTTGGCATGCAGCTTAATCAACTGCGTGATCGAAACCATGGCCCTATGGCTGATGCTTCCATTTCATCCAGAAATAGTCGCGATCATCAAGCAAAACTGTGAGATCTTTAGTTATTTCATGATGCTTTCTTGTTAGATCATTCATCTATTTTTGTCAAGGATAGTTCGTGATCTGTGGTTATAATAATTAATGCTTAGAAGTTTTCGAATGCAAGTTACATGAAGATGCAGACATAGCCATCCATTGATAACTCATTTGCACTTTCTTTTTCCCCTTTTCTGTGTCATTTTTAGGTACACGACAGATAGACAGGACAGTGAAACCATAGTCCCTTCACATTCAGAATCGTCAAGAAGCAAGGTAATTTATTTTGACATTTGAGATATCGACATGAACAAATGTCGTGATTAACTTAATTTTTGTACTATTTGGTCTTGAAACTTGTCCAATTATGTTTTAAGCTAAACTGAGCCTTTAGAAGCAGATGTGGGCATAGTCACAGTGGCTAGAGCAGAAGTGGTCCCGCCTATGCACCCGAGTTATTCCCTCTCGGCACTTTGGATTAGTTCAAAGTAGAATATCTTTTTGCATTAAAAAAAAAAAAAAAAAAAAGGAAATTAAGCTTTAGAAACCTTGTAGGATGAACTTAACAAGCAGTTCGTGCTAAAGTGTATTCGTTAAAAGTCATAAATTTGTTCGAACTAATATCTGGGCATGTTGAACAGGATACTCATCAAGATGGAACGGAAAATGTGAATGAAAAGAAGATAGATGCAGCAAACAAAAGCAACTCCCGGTCTGTTGGGCTGCCTGCTGATTCATCTGCAGTAGAGCCAGTGGTAGCCAAGCCTACTGCTTCAACGAACTCCAAGAAAGGTGGTGGGGGTGAGGTAAGATTGGTCACATTAGTTCTGATTCAATAGGAATTTTAACCAATAGACTACCATCAAATTGAAGATTCAATTTCCACATTGCACGTATGCATTCCGTCTTTCATTTTGATGATGTTGATTACTATTATGGATTGGATACTTTGATTAATGGGGAAGGATTACAACGCCGATTGAATAAACTAGAAAACGTTTATGTTTATACTTGTTGCTTTATTCTGAGCTGATTTCTTTCTGTGATTAGATAGAAAGGTAGAAATGGTTACATACCTCTTTGCCTGTGGCATAACAGGGAGGTAATTCCACAACTTCAGCAATAACGAAGTTGACATCGCGACTGAATTTTTTGAAGGAGCGGCGGAGCCAAATAGCAAATGAGCTTCAAGGCCATGGTCCTGCTCAAAATTTGGATAAAAGTCAGTCGCTCCAATACATGTCAGAGAAACCGGAAAAACTTAGGAAAGCGGAGAGTCATTCAGAGAGAGGAGGAAAGAGATCGGAAAGCCAACAGCAGCAGCATAGCCTGGACAGAGGAAAATCGGAGAGCCATTTGTCTGTTACCGTGGAGAAAGGTCGAGTTGTAGAGAGTAGTAAACAGAAAACTTCTCCGAGGACGGACACCAGATGATAACTAATGTTTTACAAGTTGCGTTAAGGCTGAGGAGGGATGTGTGTACAGATGAAGCATTTCCTTGAAGTAAAACTGATTTATCTGCAACCCCAAATTGTTCATTTATGCTGCCAGGCACTCACACAGCACAAATTGCTCAGTTATTTGGGTGCGTTGTACTTGTACGGATGAATGAATATGTAATTTTCTGCAAAACAATTTTAGTTTTTGGGTCTCATTGTTGAACTTAATATCAAATGATTTTACGAACAAAGTTCGTTATTCATACCAAAAAAGTCATCATGCAATCGCACTGTTGAAACACCGTTATGAAGTGTGAATAACAACTCACTTAAGAAAAGCTCATTTCTACACAAATTTCTTTACACTCTGTTTGGATGAGGAAATTTGTGATTACTAAGAAATTTCAAAATTACGGAAATTGAAATCATGGATTTTATTTTTTAGAATTTGTGAATTATCGTGTTTGGTTAACCCAAAAAAACAATAGAATTTAAATACAAAATTTGCTATTTTTAAACTCGCTCATAAAAATTAGAAAATAACATCTATTTACATTTTAAATAGTTATTTGGACAGGGTGATACAAATGATCAAAACCATGTTAATAAAGTTGTAATAGAATTTTTTTTCCACACTAAACTTTTTATTTTGGATGGACATAAAATTTTCACCGTATTCAGATATCATTATGCACAGATTTTTAGTTATTTAACTTATTTTTAATTCAAGGATCAAATATCCAATAACCTCAAAACGCTTCTTTCTTGCTAATCGGGTGTCGGATTATTTGCATGGCGAAAAAATTACTTAAATTATAAATCAATTTAACCCATAAAAATAATCAATAGCCAAATTCCAAAGGTAAAATTTCATTAATCAATAATAATAGCCATAGTCGAAAATAATAATAATATTATTATTTTTCATCATGGTAATTGTTGGGACTCCGACTCTCAATAGTCCTTAAGCACCTTCCTGATCTGCTCAAGGGTCACAAACAGCACCACAGTGAACGGCCCCTGCCTCGAAATCGTAGGGATGAAGCCCTTGTAAAGGGCCATGGGCCCCTCCGCCCTCACGGTCTTTAGGGCACAGTCGAGGGCCCCAGTGTAGGGCGGGTCCCGCCCAGCCTCCACCTTCATGTTCATAACCCTCGTCTTAATCACGTCGATCGGATTCGAGGCCACGGACGCCACAAACCCCGCCGCGAAACTCGCCGTCACGTGCGTCCCAAGGCCGTCCTTCATCAAGTGCCTATCTAGAATCGCCTCCTTGATCTGGTCGTACGACGCCAGCTGCGACGCCGTCACGATCATAGCGCGGTTCACCGTAAGGCTAGACCCGCGCCACAGACTAAGAACTCCTTCGCTCCTCGCCATCTTGGCAATCGCGTCGATCACGTTCTTGTAGTCGCGACCGCCGGCCTGCATCCTGACCATGGCCACATCGGCGGGGTTGCCGACGGCGGCTCCGACTCCACCGGCGACAAGCCCGGCGAAAATTTTGCGGGCCAGTGGCAGGTTCCCGGAGTTCGGGTCGGCCCATTTGACTTTCAAAATTTCATAGAGGCCCATTCGGGTGGTGGAGTACAGAGTCTGGCGGAGAACTGTTGCTGAGACTCCCGAGAACAATGCCTTAACGCCTTCGGTCTGAAAAATTTTGACTCCGACCGAGATTGGACCGGCACGTACGGCGGCCGGTGGGGGCGGCGGGGAAACAAGGGTGGCGGAATGGGAATTAAAAGCAAAAGCGGGGCGGAGATTGTGGATGGGCTGGGGGGCGGCGGCGCGAGCGGGGTTGCTTTCGCCCTGGAGCTGCATACGGACCTTGATAAGATCCAGCGGGTGGGTGGAGCAGCCAGCGACAATGGAAGCGACGCCTCCCTCGACAAATCCTTTGATACCCATTTTCCAATCGAATCAAAGGTCGAATCTTTTGGGGTTTTTTCCCCTTTTTCTGGGATCGTCTGTTAAAAAATGAATGAAAGAATAAAAAAAAATAGGATCAAAATTGAATGGATGGGTTTAGGAGGACCAATTAGGGTTCATATCACTGGAGATTAAGAGGTGGGAGTGGAGGGCAAAGGCAATGGAGGAGGAGTGAGGGACGTTGGGCCTCTGAGACATATGCTGGAAGTAAGTAGCAATGTGTCTGAATGGTTGAGTTGGAGGGTGAGGGAGTTGGGGGTGTACTTATATAGTGGGAAACGGAGAGGAGTACCAAGAAGGAAAGGAAGTGAGGAAGGAGGGGGGAAGGAGATGGGCGAGATGCGCCGTGGCTAGTAAAATTTGGTGGGAGTCATAGCACGCGTTTCGGTTGATTGATGGCTGGGACCCTTTTGGTTTGTGCTGCTGCCCTAGTTCTAGTAAAACATTCAAACTGCCAAAAATACCCTTCTCTTCTTCCAACTTTTAAAAATAACTATTTAATTAAAAGATTGAAAAGAAACAACTGCATCCCAGCTATGGAAGTTATTGGCCTTTTTGGAATTTTATTGGGTATTAAATAAGCTTGACTTCTAAGCATGACAAAGGGTCAAGCCAAATGGTAGCCCTAGGACAGCCGTCGGTCTGTGCCTCCCAACTTTTTGGGGCACCGGGTCTCCCAACCTTTGAAAATTTGACACGTCATTTTTAATTTGAAATACTGAAAGTTCCTTGTCTTCTGGACGAGCTCTCAATGCATGTACCGCCGCGTTGGACTTTTATTTTATTCTTTATATTCTCGGTTTATTAATTCATTTATACTTGCATATGGAAAGCTTTGAGATTAAAATCATAATATGATTCTTTTATGAAATAAAAAATATAACGTAGGTGCTCCCGAATTCTTTCAATATATTAATATTAATACAATTTATTATGTTGATTCCTAAGTTAGTACCTTCCTATATAATACTCTGCGTATTATATTACGCATGCACACTTATTTTAAATGATTATAAGTATGTCGACCCAAGTTCAATTAATTCTCCATATTCTAAGGGAGGTGTAGTAAAATGATCATAGATATATCCACAATGCAAATTAGGGTCTCGGGTCAAATGATTACTTTGCATTATTGCTATTTATGAGTTTTTACATGACAAGTATATATAAGAACTCTTTGTTGATCGTAGTTTAGTGGTTCAATGACCTTTTGAGCACATATGGGTTTGTCTTAGTGTTTAACACTAATTACTTGAGACAAGTCATACTCATAATTGAGTTGACATAACACAGACTAACCTTTAATTGATTGTTAATACCTAATTGACAATCCTATAGTTAGAAACCATTAAGGCATGAACATAAGAGAAAAGTCTCATTGATCTTTCTACCTTAGATCACTTGAGTTAACGCATGGTCCTTTCCGACCCCAACAGACCTAGAGTAACATAAGCCCAAAAGAAAGTCAAGGCCCAATGGGCATGAAATTGTGAAGCTGAGCGCTTTAGGAGGTCTATGGCCCTCGAGTGTCTTGTCAAAAATCAAGTTGAGAACTTCCTAAGAAAGTGCCTTCCGAGCACCAATGGGAATGTTGGTCACTAACAGCTTTAAGGCACGAGGACCTAAAAACAGAAGGGGCATGCCTAGTCAACCATCAACTCTAAGCCACGTGGCGGTTAGACAAAGGAACACAAGTGCAAAAAGGCTGATAGGTAAGGCGCTCAGTACAAGGTCCCACCAACTCCAGGGCCAAGCAAGGCGCTCGGCTGCTCCATCCCAGAAAAATACACAAGTGGACCTGCTTTAGTGTCCCTTAGTTGCCACGTGTCGAGCAAAGAACGGAGGGATACTAGCAGGTCTAGCGTGTGGATTCAGCACATTAAATGAAAGGAAGTGATGGACTCAAACCTAAAGGTTGAAGGTTGAGATGAAGGCTATATAAGGAAGATGAGTACTCCTTAAAATGGGCCGGACGAATTAAGATAAAAATTGTACTATTCTAGCGCTTTATTATAGGTAACCGCTATTTGTAACCTTGTTACCAATTTTTACAAGAAACTCAATGGTTGTAGCCTAGTTTTGAGGAGTGAACCACTTAAATCCTGTGTTTATTATCATTTGTTTGCAAAGCCTAAGTCTATCATGGACAAACACTTGATTCATTCAACTTTTGTTAGCCTCACCATTTTGAGCGTTAACAACTTATCTTTTAGGTTAATTACATTCGTTGAACTATGTTGATTATACACATAATTTGGAAGAAACCAAAATACATTTCGGATTCCACAATGTCGCATCCATGGTCACATAAGTATATCAAGTAGGTGGATAATATCAACCATATCCCTTATGATGAGTAGCAAACATAAATACACAACGCACAACATTTGTACGTTGACGTTTTGGGAGATGAACGAATACAACGTGGCCAAACACTTCAGGAGGAAATGTCGTAATGGAAGGCAAGGGCCCAAGACTTGATAAATATTTTATTGGTGTCAGACTTGTATATTATTTTTTCATATGCCCAATGTGAGGTCCTATTTTCTAACACACCACTTTTAGTGGCCTCACATAGGGTCAAAAGGGAAACCGATTCCCACATCAAGAACTGGTCAAGTCATTATCATTGAGATAACGCCAATCTTTTTGGGAGCCCAGTTGGTCAGTATTCAGTCATTGGAGCTAATGTTAATATTTTTTAAGGCACAGTCATCTCGGTTAGTATTCAGTCACTAGAGCTAACACCAATATGATCTAGTCGTTCAATCAGTATTAAGCTGGAGCTAGCACAACTTTTCGAAATCCCAACTTAAGGAAGCAGATTCAAGCCCAGTAACTTGGGCCCAAGACATGTCAAGAGAATAACTTGCTTTGATACCATGATAAACTTTTTGTGTAACATCCCACATCGCCCAGGGAAGTGAATCTTGTAAGCCTTATATGTATATTCCCATCTCTACCTAGCACGAGGCCTTTCGCGAACTCGCTTAACTTTGGGGCCCAGGCCCCCACCACATCCCATGCTCGACTTCACCGTAGCAAGATATTGTCCGCTTTGGGCCCCGACCACGCCCTCACGGTTTTGTTTCTGGAAACTCACATGAGAACTTCCTAGTGGGTCACCCATCATGGGATTACTCTCGTGCGAACTCGCTTAACTTCGGAGTTCAATTGGAACCTGAAGCCAGTGAGCTTCCAAAAAGCCTCGTGCTATGTAGAGATGGGAATATACATATAAGGCTTACATGATCCACCCCCCTGGGCGATGTGGGATGTTACTGATGCGAGAATTACTTGACACTCAAATTTTACCCTCGTTTGACAATTGTAGTAGAATGGATAAGTGAGGGATCGTTCTAGACCGGGGATTAGGAGGGCTTGCTAAAACCTTCTAAAATGACTTAAAAACGTAAAAACAATATAAAACACTAAACTAGACTCAAAGAATGTGAAACTAAACGTTAAAACACTACGACAAACCAAAAGAATCAAAATGCTTTAAAAACACAAACTAAATTGATTCCTAACTATATTGAACATTAAAGCAAAAGGGGGATTGAGGTTTGACGAAAATTGAAATAACGAAACAAGTTAATAACTAGACAGAATGTAATTGATGAAATAAGATGGTTGGTGAATTAGCTAGAGGTTCTTTCTCCACACATGATATTTATGCATATGAATCAATTTCCAATTATTCCTTCATTGAATTATGAACGACAATGCCCCAAATTAACCGTGACATCACTAGTTAACCCTCAGATTTTCCTTATATTATTGGATTGGATGGCATCATTCGACAACCCAAAATATTCTCAAAAGTTCCCTACATGTCATCATAATAAAGATACAATCGAAGATCATTAAGAATAATGAAAACCATAAGCATTGACAAAGCATTTGCAACTATGACATCATGTTACTCATGCTAAGAATTAAACTTAACGCGATCGTGACAAGCGACCTTCACTACTTTCAAGTATAAGTTAGTAACGATTATGTGAAACCTTCTTAAACTTTAGCCACATATTCATGCATGCTAATTAAGTGTCGACCCTCAATCAACAAACACAAATAAGTTAATCATCAAATAGTTAAGCCAATTGCATTCACGAATCAAGAGTTCATAACCGGAATTCATCAATTCATATTACATAAATAATAATGGTATTGAAATCACCCCTAGCCAAAAAGGGTTTAGTTCCTCATAACTTTGAAATCAAAGAAACACCTAAACATTCCAACAACTCAAACTTGAATTGTATGAACGTTTAGGCACTCTTCTCTTCCATTCCTCATATTACAAAACAAAGAGAATTGAATTTAAACATTGAAATCAAAGAAACGCGTAAACATTCCAACAACTCAAACGTGAATTGTATGAACGTTTAGGCCCTCTTATCTTCCTCTTTATTGTGGCACAAGGACTAAGGGATGTTGTTGGTGTGTTGAATGGATTGGGGGATTATGGAAATGGAAGAAATGGAGGAGAAATGGAAGGGAAATGGAGAGAAACTCACGGCTAGGGAGAAAGGAATGTGTTTGTGGTGTGTTGTTGTGTTGTGAATGAGATGAGATTTGAATGAATGAATGCAAGGGTATTTATAGGAGGAATGGAGATGTATATGGCTATTTGTTTAAGGTGTTTGTGGTTGCAATGATGAAGAATTGCATGTGGAAATAAAAGGGAAAATGTGGTGAAATGATGAAGTAGGAAGGTGGAAATGCATGTGAGATGTTGGAAAGGAAATGGGAATATGAGTAGGCCATGGCATGAGAGTTGTTTTGTTGGTGTAAATGTGCCATGGTTGCAATGATGAAGAATAAAGGGTGCATGTGGGGTGGAATTGAATGAATGCAAAGTGAATGAATAATGAAATGAGTTAAAGAGGGAGAATGTGGTGAAATGATGAAGTAGGAAGGTGGAAATGCATGTGAGATGTTTGTGGAATAAAGAATGAATGGTGGAAATGTGAGTGAATGATGTGCATGTGTGTGAATGCATGTGTTGATTTAAAGAATAGGTATGCATGTGAATTAGTTTGGAAAGAGGTGGGTGTGCATGTGAGATGAAATGCATATGTTTGAAATGTGTAGATGATTATGAGTATGATAAGTGATAAATGAATGATATGTGGTGAGTGATAAGTGAATGGAAATGATAAGTGATAAGTGAATGGAAGTGATAAGTGAAAGGTTTGAT